AGCGACGAGAACAGCGGACCTACCGGCGGCAGGCCGCCGAGGGGCCATCGCCGACCCGCGAGATACGACAACACAGGCGAAAGTGGTGCTGCCTGTGGTCATGGGTTGGGTCATGGGTTGCAGCAGTCTGCTGCCGCCGTTGATGATGACAACGGCCGCGGCCGCGACCCTCTCCCGAGCCACGCCTCTCGCCGGCTGCGCGTGGCCGCCCCCGCCGCTGCCGTAGAAGCGGAGGGTTCGCGATGCCCCCTTACGATGCTGTCGCAAGCTGCCGGGGTCGCCGGGTTTGCTACCACGACAACCACCGCAGCAGCCATCGCCCGCATCACGGAAAGCGGGTTCATCTCCAGGCTGCGACGCTTTCGCCGCCTTTGCTCCGCGAAATCTGCAGATCCACAGCGCTTTCCGTGACCATCCATGGTCTACAAGCTTACAGGCGACACAAGCAAGCCACCTGGGGACTGTCCCCGAGATCTGGAGTGCGAGAGGGTGCTCAGCGTGCTGGCGACTGCAGTGCAACTCGAGTGCTCCCATTTCGGAGTCATTTCGGAGTTTCTCTTCGGAAAATGCAGAAAATGAAGCGGCGCCCGAAAAATTCCGACGCTTCATTTTCAGCATTTTCCGACAAGAAATCGGCAGCGCATGTCGGCATATTCCAACAGAACAAATCTCGTTAAGAATCCTCCTTAGGACTTTACCATTTCTTCATCCCTGTCAACCTGGTCAGCCGTGCTTATCCAGCAGCACTAGGCTTGGAACCAATCTACAGCACATACGACTACTGCTGTAGGTTGGGCGGCGAAAAATAGCGAATCGATCTCGGTGGTCGGTACGACTTTTCTTCTCGCGGTGAGACTGCATCACGCCGGATTTCCGGCGTCGCCGGAACAAATGTTGCCATCTGCGGATGAATGTGATGTAGCCAACCCAAGGGAAATCTTAATCGAATGCAACCCGAATCTAGCCGCGGTCTGAGTGTGCCTTGACTGGGCGAACGAACCGGCTGGGGGATGACGACCACGTTAGATACTCGGCCGTGGTGTGCCTGCCTTGTGAGGCCGACAGAATATACCAACCCCTACAAGGTATAGTCTAGTAGTGCTGTTATTTTCCGGAAAATGCTATTTTTGAAATCTATATAGAGTCTATACCCCGGAATCGCTCTGGCCTGCCCGCGCCCAAATCGCCGAGGATTTTTGAGTGGTGTTTACACATTGATAGTAGTAGGTATATCTTAGGACTAACGCGTTCTGATTGGTCGGGCGTTGCTCGGCGTTGGTTCTGGCGGCCGTGGGTGAGGGTTAGGGTTAAGGTAGATGTGGTGTGAGCAACCTAGCCTTGCTCGCGTGAAGAACCTATAGCCTTGCTACGTTCAAAATCGGTTGGTCCTAAAGAGTTAGACTATACCATCAAAGTGTAACCAAGGCTCGGATATTTTTTCCTGCGATTTGGGTTCGAGGTCGCTGTGCAGACGTTGCTGCCCGCGCGCGGCGCCGATTGCACGTTTGCACCGCACCCGTGCACCGCCGTGCACCCGTGTGCGCCATGTGTAGTCTACCGTGTTGATGATGAACAGATCAAATGTTGGACGTGTATGCGTGTGTCAACTCTCTGCTGGGATTATGTGGAGAGCATTTATTTCGTGGTGGCGGAGAGAGGCAGACGATACACACACCCTTTATGAACAAAATGGGCACAGCAACACAGCAGTACATACAATATAAATGCATAGTAGACTAGACCCATGGTATCGCTGCTGCTGCATACTCTCATTAATAACTACACAAGCGGCCGTTGCCTATTTTTGCTTGTTGAGTGATGATGTGCTGCTCAACACAGAGCAGGGGAAATAGGTGTGTGTGTATCGCGCTCCCGATCCTACACGGCGGCGTAGTAGAAGCTGCGCTGTTTTGATGTCTGTCGCAGTCGTGCGTCGCCGCGTGTGTGGTGTTCGAAAGGAACCGTCAGTTGGTAGTCTGTCAACCGTCAGTTGGTGGTCTGTCGATTCAAAGCCAGTGTTTTCCCTTTTCCGGCCAAAGACTAAGGGTTGATCTCAAAAATCGCAGCTGCTCTCTGTTGGCCTGGGAATTCCTGCCTGATTCTTCTGTGGTTTTCAGCCAAAATGCAGACAGACCTGCCATAATAATTGGCCAATTAGCAGTAGTCTAGACAGATGGTGACGTGCTGACTGCTGTCGTCCACAATAAGCACAACCAGTCCGGAAGAGACAATAGATTTGCTGACTATTGACTGCGGTGAGCGGTCCACAGACTATCTACTGTATATTGCTGTGGTCCACAGTCAGTCTGGAAAGGGAAAAACAAGTAGTCTATCGTACACCCAACACCCGGATGAGGTTACATACTTCAGCAGTTGAGTGCTGGTGAGATGTGCTCTGCTTTCGAGCACTGCCTCTTGTCTTGCCTTGGTCAGTGGTGATCGGCGAAAGTTTGAAGCATGTTTCACTCATTGTTTACAGGGCTGTGTCCTATCTCGTCGACTTTCGTGCATGACTCTGTACCAACCGTGGACGTGCATCCTTCCCGTCGTGGGTGCGGCAATACTTTCGACCAGTCAGTGGGGGGGGTAAAACGGGGGGTAGTGATGTAATAGCGAGGGAGGGGTGGTTCGGTTGTTCGCGCACGGTGGAGATCTACGAATGAGACATACAACAACGGACGCGTTCTCACAAGCTGACACAAGTATTAGCACGAAACTCGCAGGAGGGGTCCATCGGGCCAGGAGGGACACGCTTCCAACCCACACGAACATCTGTCGTTGCAATCTCGAGAAACATCGACCGGCGAAAAACAACTTGCTTTTTAGAGAAGAGACCGGAGATCGCCTCCTCTAAAACCAAGTGAAATGCAGGAAGTGGGGTCACTTTTTGGTGGGGTCGAAAAAGTGGGGTCGTTTTCAAAGATAGGTTCTGCGAAAATCGGCGACAGAAACTGAATCCCTATCGGGCTTCAGAATCGCCCGGAAGCAAGACGGAATTAAATAACACAAACCACCACACGCCCGTGCGGATCCCCCGAATGAAAGAGTTGATCTAATCTGGCGAAGGAGGCAAGCAAAAACAAATAACAAATCCGGTCTGCCACGAAGTGTAAGATGCACGCGTCGTGTGTTCGATGCGACTGCCGCTGCGCTGGTGCAGGTGAATCCTAGCATAGCATCGGCTGCTGCTCACACGCGCCAGTATGCCATCCCTGCTTGGATACGCGGATTCTCTAGTCTACGTTACCTACTTTGCTTGCGTAGACACATCATCTATCCCGGAATATCGACCGCGCCCCAGGATCCGCAGCTACCATGGTACATGTTTTCACGGAACAGCATACCATGGTGCTTGTTTGCTCCCCTTTCACGCAAGGGCAAGAATACCATGGTCTTGCGTTGTTCCCTTTTACGGATGGGCCAACGGACTGCCAGAGAACCGCGTGATCCGCAGCTACCTACATCTAGCTTCTTTCTCCCTTTCACAGAACAGCATACCATGGTACTTCTTTGCTCCCTTTCACGGAAGAGCAAGCATACCATGGTCTTTCTTTCGCGGAAGGGCCAAAAGGACTGCCCAACGCAGTCAAAGAGACGCGTGCTCGTCAATAAGCGACGTGTCGCGGGCGACAGCAAACCGCCCTTCCCCTGGCGGCAGCCGACTCCCGCTGAAACTGTGACCCGCACCACCCTCTCGCCTTCCTCTTGGTGGAACACCTCTTCCCGTATCCTGCAAACTCCCGCAACCGTCGCCACCGCTGCTCCTGGCGGCGGTGTCCCGCTGTATTTGTTCGATCTGCAACCGCACGGTTCGCCTGTTTTCATAGGGGGGCACGCGGCGAAATGTCCCGAGGAGAGGGGGGGGGGGGGTCGGCTGCTCACAAGACGGTACGAGGTGTTGCGATGGTCACTCGAGTATGTGATGTTTAGGGTACTCGAAAAGGTCGATGGCATGTTCTTGGGATCTGGGTCAGCTATGTCTGGTTGTAGGTACCATGGATATCACAGGTGTGAATCCGGGGGTCCCTTGTGGCTCTGCTTACACTTGTTCACTCGTCCATCAAACTAAAGGTCTTGGGTCGAACTTCCCCATGGTTCGGCCTCTAACGAAGCTGCTCGCACCCACGATTGATTCTGCAATCGAGGGATGTGGTGTTCAGGGATGGTACAGGGAAGGTTTCATCGGGAGAGCCCACGAAGCATGGAGCCGAGGACTCTAATTACTTGTTCTCGTTCAATAAACCTTGACGAGCGAGAAGCTCGTTCAGGCCTTCGGTGGCGCACAAGGCAATGGTCCAAAACATACGATGGAAATACCCTACCACCAATGGACCATTGCTCACTCAAGGCACGTGATTCGTCCGCCCTTACAGGCTAGCGCGAAAGAATAGCCCGCCGCCTCTTAGTAATTTGGAGGAGGTATCCCTCGGATTTGGGGCCCCGTTGGCTGCACGTAGTCGACGCGTGGGTACCACAGAGCTCTATTCCATGGCTCATGAGCTGACGTTGGAAGACCATGTCGGCTATAAAAATGTGCAGAGTTAGGGAACCACGGATGCCACACGGTGATGAAGATGGACAGGTGGCAAACAAGAAGGACGGAAACGATTACTCACCTGGTGGCGTGCCGAAGGGAAGAAGGACAACAAGGCGGCTAACACGATTGTAAGATGGACGAAAACAACAGCAACACCAGCGGCAGTAACAACAATAACTGCAAACAGCAATAGCAACGGCGAGGATGACAACGATAACAACAACAACAACAACAACAACAACAACCAAACCAACCATGTTCCAAATTGATCCGAACGCCCGTTTGTCTAAACTTCGACAACAACAAAGCACTACAACCATCGGCCTCCGTGTTACCTGATGCCGAAAACTAAGGTGAGCAGCAAGACGACCCCCAGCACGAGAGCCGCCTTCTCCTGCAGCGTGTGCTTCCTCGACATCATGTTCTCGAGCGAATCAATCCTAGCCCCGATCGGGACAAGCACGAAGCTCTCCAGGGACAAGGCCAGCGCAGTCACGCCCGCGTACATCCTGTTACAAGGGAGGCACGTGTTGTGGTATTTTTCTTTCAAGAGGGGAATTCTGTTTCGTCGCCGACAACGAGTTTTATACCTAGGTGTTTTGTTGCAACTCAGGGCTAGATGAGACCGTCCGCTCACCACACTTGCCCAGTCACATAACCCTATGGAGTACCGTAAATGACACAAGAAAACACACCCCCTGGACCGATTTTCAATTCTCGATTTCTCGACAGCAAAAGGAGTAAAAGCGCGGAAAACGGTGGCGTTGAAGCTGTCTCGTCTAGAGCTTTCCGAAAGTGTATTGTTTCATGTATGCATCTTCTTCGTTGTCGCATAATCGAGCTTTGAAAAATTGGTCCAGGGGGTGTGTTATCTTGGGTCATATACGGAGGCCGCCAGCTTCTCGCTGGACCACGCTCTCGCATCACCAAGCGCGAAGCGCCGTGAGGTACACGGGGGGGGGGGCATTTACCTCGCCTTCATCAACGCACCATCGATCACGGGGCATCCTTACTTCGGGCGAGACAGACAGCTCCGGCGCAACATTTTCTTGTTGCCTCCTACAGTACGCCCGAGACGCAGTGCTTGCTCTTGGAGCAACTTGATCAACAGGCATGACGAGCAGCGTTCAGTCCAGCCATATCCCCGAGATTCCCCCGACACTGACAAAAACCACGATATGGCCAAGCACAGTCGTAGACCCAAAGGGCATCAAGGACGTCACCTTTGGCACTACCCGCATCGTCATTGCCATGACCAGCGTCAACACGAGCAACGGCAACGATCACAATGAACAGCATGAGCAACGATAAAAAACATCAACATTACCACCACCATCACCACCAACAACATCAACAACAGCAGCACCAACGGCACAAAATATGGCACAACCTGCTGCCCCGCACCGTCGTTCCTCCAGGCCAGGTCTTACCATACGGACACTGCCAGGCTGCCGCATCCGTAGTTCTTCAACGCTGCGGGCAGAACAGAGAACCTCAGCAACGCCATTGTCTGCTCCAAAGCCGAATGAAGAAAAGGCGTGTCCGTTATCTTGGCCTCGTTATTATGAGGACGCTGACAGACTGTTATCATGTCGGGTGTTTACTCATCGCCGTCCGCTGCCGCGGGTGGCAAATATATCACAGAACCTCGCATCCCCAAAACCTCACACAATGTCGGGCTCTTCCCCTCCCAGCAGCTATGCTTGTTCGGATCAGGTACAGCTGAGAGGATAAGACGCAACCAGCACGTATTCAGGGTCGCCAATATCCCNGGGAAGACATTTTTGAGCCACCTTTGGCAAAGTAGAAAGGAACGATTGGCCATCGGTGATCGGTCCTGTGGGAACAATGCTCCGTCCTCTCGAGGACGCGTGGTCAATGGTCTAACCGCTAAGACATGCAAAACATAAGAGTACGCCCCCCCCCCCACCTTCACCTACAGTTTTGAAGATCGTACCGCCGTTAGAGTACGCCCGAGAAGTATGGGAAGGAAATAAGAAGGTAGTCAACGAGCTCGAGGCGGCGCAAATGAAAGCAGCGAAAGTCATCCTAGGATGCTCCAAGCGCTCAAGCAATGCAGCAGTCAGGACAGAACTGGGGATACAATCCCTACGATCGGGAAGAGACGCAAGGAAGCTGACATGGCAGTATCGCATGTGCGGGATGGGAGAGGAGAGGGTGCCGAGAATAGCCAGGAAGGCAAAGTGGGTAAACAAAAAGGATAGATAACCCACGGAGTGGGTCAAGGTGCAGATGATGTATGGAAGGACTTCGAAATTGACAAAGGCGATACGCTGGAAGCGGAAGCTCTAGAGGGGTTCAAGGAGAAAATATCTGTTGCTTGTGCCGAGAGAGAAGAATGGAATCTAAGGAGAGAAACAAAGGATAAGGAGGGTCTATAAGTGTACGGAGTGTTGAAAGAAGGAGTAGGGTTCAAGGACTACCTACATGGACCAACGGATGCAGGGGAATGATGAAGGTCAAACTTAGGACTGGGGACATTGGCTTTCGAGAACGTAGACGAATGTTTTAGGAATATAAATGATGAAAACGGCAAGCTCAAATGTGAAACCGGCTCCGAGTGGGAAAACCAGGTTCATGCAGTTGCGGAAAGTCAGTTGTACAAGAAGGAGCGGGAAGTGTAAGTGACTGAGCTGGGAAAAGAATAAGGAAAAATACAAGGAGATGGTTGAGGCACGGGATATCCTGGAGAAGGCGGTAGCTGTAGTGGGGCAAAGGAAGTGGTTTGAAAAGGTGAAAAGTGATATCGATAGGATAGATAGACTAGGGAAGACATTTCTGAGCCACCTTTGGCGAAGTAGGAAGGACGATTGGCCGTCGGTGATCGGTCCTGTGGGAACAATGCTTCGTCCGTTCAGGACGCACGGTCAATCGTCAAACCGCTGAGGCATGCGAAACAGAAGAGTACCCCCCCCCCCGCACATACACACGGCGG